ATCATATATATATATATATGTGTGTGTGTGTGTGTGTGTGTGAGAGAGAGAGAGAGAGAGAGAGAGAGAGAGAGAGAGAGAGAGAGAGAGAGATATCTCCAGGGGCTAGTGTTGATATATATATATATATATCTGTAAAGCCTTTTTTGGTGTCAAATTATGTGTGGCTGGAAATGTGTTCCAGGAGATCACCTTATATTCTTGGGCTTGTTGGACTCTGTGTTATTAGCAGTAGGCAACCATTTGCAGCAGTAATTCGCATATTTATTTGCATTGAAATCAAATAAGAAAGCGAACCTGGTTTTGCAAAAAATGTAGGGTCTAGTAGTTTTCAGGCCAATGGACCTTTTGTTTTTCTGAGAATCTTCTCCCTCCCATCACTGTCAGAACCAAATCAACCAACTAACCAGTTAACAATCAACCTCTACTTGATGGGAGTAAACTCTGTGGATTCAAGGTTACTGAAGGAATAAAAGAAGCATTCTATGTGTGATTAAGAAATTAGTACAGTTCAGCCTTTCACTCAGTTTGTCAAAAACATACACTGGTTGTCACATATGTGCCAGGAGCAGCTCCAGGCTCTCTCCAGGGACACAAAAATGACTAAGTCAGTCCCAAGCCTCCAGTCTAATAGATGGAGAGCTCTCAGTCTAATAGATGAAATAAACAAGAAAAKATCATCGCCATTCAGTGCAATAACTAAGTGAGATTTATGAAAATACCTGTGAAATAATCAAAAGGGACATCTTGTAGTGTGGCAGAGCAAGGAAGAGTGTGAGAGAGGCTTCATATGACAGATCTCTGAACTGGGTCTTAGAAGATGAATCAGAATGTTCCAGAATGTTTATAAGGTGCATGGAAGGGCCTCTTCAGCAGAGGGAATAGCATAGGCCAAGTAGTGAGGAGTGACTACGGGAGTAAGAGAGAAGCCTGGGAGATGGCAGGRATCTCACTAAACTAGGCATTGAAGACCTTGCCTTTCATCCTTGCAGATTCTGAATAGCAAGATTACATTTTATAAAGGTAACTGTAATGTCGGGGAGAAAATAGAGAGAAAGAGGTACTYCAGGCTACAGGAGAGGGATTCTAGCCCAGGGAGAAGGTGTGAGCCCCTTTTCTCTTGGTCTATCTCCTTCTAGGAAGTTGGTCATTTCTTAAACATTTTAAGGTACTGGGGATTAAACCCAGGGGTGCTTTATCACAGAGTCACATTCCCATTCCTTTTAATTTAGTTATTTATTTATTTTTATTTTGAGATATGGTCACACTAAGTTGCTTGGTCTATCTCCTTCCAGGAAGTTGAAGGGCCTCTTAATAGCAACTGTTTTAAAAATTAGTTGCTGAAGAAGAAAATGTCTAAAATGATTCTAAATAGAATAGTCTAAAATTTCACATATCCCAAAGAAATGCAAGAG